AGAGAGCCTTCATGCTGAAGTGGCCCAGAAAGTCAGTGATGCTGATGGCAGTTGGCAAATACTCTGGCTTATAAGAAAGGAGTTAACCAGGAGTACATACACTCTGGCTGAGCAATGTGATAGCTGTTTCGAATCAATGTCAAGGGAGCAGTCTTGCTTTGCCTGCAGTGTTCTTGCCCTGAATTCAGTCACATGCTTTCTAGGTTTTCTCACTGTAGCCCACTTTAATCAAGTTGGGATTCTTGAAGAACGTACATGGAATTTAAGTTAATGTGGCTTTAAAACTCAATTTTTCAGCATGATGTGTTTTTTTGGACTGATATGGGAGGTTTGTTCTGATATGTTCTAATCAGAAAACTTAAGTACTGGAGAAAACAGTTAGGGAGAGGTAACCACAAACCCATTTACAAAGGCACTGTCTCTACTGGGCACATGTGCTCTTAGAAATCAGCCACCTGCATGTCACTGTCTCTACTGGGCACATGTGCTCTTAGAAATCAGCCACCTGCATGTACTGACCTTAGCTTCCAGTGAGCAGTGCGGGGCTATCACACCACTTATTGAACTGCCCACTCCACTGCGGAGACTTTGTCTTTCTGCGAAAACTCATTAAGAACTACAATGTTAAACCAGAGCTCCTTGGAGAAATAGCCGATTCCAGGTCAGGGTAAAAACTGAACAAAATGAGCATGGAACAGCCTTTCTACAGAAAGCAAGGAATTTGTCAAAGACTACTGGGGTTATATCAGAAAACAGGATGACTATGCTTAAATCCATATGTTAATAATAATATTTTTTATTTTGAGAAAAAAAACCTTATTGGTCACTTTTGGAGGATGCTAAGAGCCAACTTGTTATTTGGAAAACTGGTAAGTAAATGGAACGAGTTAAGCATTTATCCTGCTTTCTTATATGAAATGTAAACTAGGGTAACCAACAGTTGTAGAAAAGTCTCTTTTTATATAGTTCTCCAGCTAATAAATGAAGAAGGAATGATAAACTAAAATATAATCATTTTGTGACAAAATGAAACAGTGGACCTAAGTGGTAATCATAAATGGCATCTGACATTAAAAAAAAAGAGAGATACGTTACTTGCATCCTGATGGAAGCATTCAATACTGCTGTGAAGTGTTCTTGCAAAAAATCTAACATGAAAGGGATCTAGTGGCCAGATTTAACTACCAATTTAGGAATAACAGGAGATAGACCAACAAGATCAATGACACCTCAGGATGTAATCAGCAAATTCCATACTGTGAAAAACTCTCCAGAACCTGAGACCAAGTGTCTTAAACAAAAAGCAGGGCTAGTGGGAGGGAAGGTGTACCTAAAAGAAAGTTAAGAGGCATGTAACCCAATTATAATGTCTCCTCATTCCAACAAGCCAAGTGTAAAAAAAATTATGCTGAGAAAATTTGAACATTAACTGGATATTTAATATTAAGGAATAACTTCAAGTACAATGGAGTCATGATTATAATATATAATACAGTATATATAACAATATTATATTATTGTTAAAGGATTTTTATCTTTTAGAGATAACTGAAATATTTATAGATAAAAAATGATATCTTGGATTTACTTGAAAATAATTAAGGGTAGGGAGGAAGTGGGCAATGTTATAGAGCAGGGCCAAAAACGATGGCCCAGACCAAATCTGGCGCACCACCTGTTTTGTTTGTTTGTTTAAATATTTATTTATTTATTTGGCTGATTGGGTCTTAGTTGCGGCACGTGGGCTTCTCTCTAGTTGTGGCGGGAGGGCTCCAGAGTGCGTGGTCTTAGTTGCCCCATAGCATGTGGGACCTTAGTTCCCCAACCAGGGATCGAACCCATGTCGCCTGCATTGGAAGGCGGATTCTTAACCACTGGACTACCAGGGAAATCCAATGTTTTTGGTAAATAAAGTTTTATTGGAATACAGTCAGGTTCATTTGTTTATGTGATCTATGACTGCTTTCTTGCTACAAAGGCAGAGTTGAGTAGTCGCAACAGAGACCGTATGGCCCAAAAAGGCTAAAATATTTACTATTTGGCCCTATGGGGAAAAACCTTCATGATCCCTGGTAAAGCTGAACTAAGACTGGCCATGAGTGAATAATAATTGAAGCAGGTGATGGATACATGGGGGGTAATTATAAAGTATTGTTTCCATTTATATATGTTTGAAATGTCCCATAATAAAAAGGTTTAAAGTTTGTTTGTTTGTTTGAAGTGCTGATAGCTTTAGAAAAGGACTTTGACTTGGCCTTTGACTTTGTCACTGAGGATGGCATCCTGGGCCCACTCCAGGGGGCCTACACAACACTGTGTAGGGGGCCTACACAAGACTGTATCCTACACAACGCTGCCTCTAAATACACTCCGAGGGACTGTTCGGCTCGGAATGGCTACGAAGCTAATGACTCTTGGGAGCTCTTAAAATTGACAGAAATTTGTAATAAGTCCTATATATTCTATATAGATAAGCATACATACACATATACATATATTTGTATAGCATGCTACAAAACCGCAATACCTTCATTCTTCAGATACAATTACCAAATACAGTGTTTCCTAGAGAAACGTGGAACTAAAGACTCTGTAAGAGCAATTTTATCCAGCAAACAACTATTTGAGTCTCTGCTCACCCTCAAGGTATGCTACTAGGCACTTGAGAGATAGAAAGATAAGATACTCTTCCTGGCTTTCAGGAACTCAGTGTAGTTAAAGAATTAGAATTACAGTTTGTAGTAACAGGAGGAAGAAGAGAAGCCATTGCAGTAGCTTCTTAGCACACAAGCCCACACCAGCTAAGCATATTAAGGATTGTATCTCATTTAATATTTACAACAAACTGAGGTGAGTGTTATTATCTTCATTTTACACATGAAAACACTGGCACTCAGAGAAGTCATTTAAACTCATACTCTGTCACACTCCAAAGCCCACTCTCCTAAACATCATTGGTAGTTTAAACACTGAAATGATCATTTTTATTACATTTTCACCAGAAGGACCCATTTACAAAGAAGCTCCAGATTATTGTCACTGTGCTGGGTTTCCTCTCATATCCCATGAGTTTGATCTCATTTTTGATAAGTACCTTTAGCAGGA